GGGGTTGTGGGATGCTAGATGCTTGCGATATTGTTTGCTTTCTGCCTGGCCCGACTTCAGAATGCTGTCTTGTAGATTGTTTGCATCGCTGCATTCAGGTTCGGATCGAACTCAAGCACTCGACCCTCACGCAGAGCTTTACTTGCCGCCATGGCTCGTGGGAATTGGCTCTGCACTAGCACACGAGTGGGTGCTTTAGCTGTGGGCTTGTGCACTAGTTGCATATTTCGCCCACAACTGTCATTTCTGTGCTTCAGTTCCTTCTGGACTCAAGACCAGTCGCCCCTAAAGGGGGATCTTGCGAACAGAAACGTGAAAGAGACGCACGTGTCAGTTCGTGAGCTCTTGGTATGCTGCATCCGGGCTGCCCAGATGGCAGGGGCCACAATTCGAGAAGAGCACGCTCGTGCAGCAGGCATCAAGGCTTACGTCAAGACAGTGAAGGCAGGCAGTCGCGAGCTCAGCGCTGGTGAACTGGATGCTGCCGGAGCATCTGAAGTGGTCACCAGAGCTGATTTCAGAGCGCAGCTGATCATCATGAAGTGCCTCAAGTCGCGGTATCCACAGGCAGTAGTAATTGCAGAGGAAGATGAGAACGACGCGCAGAATGAAGCAGAAGGCTTGGACTGTGCCTCGTTCTCCTGCGAGGACATCGATGTGGGTTTGGATATTCCAGCAGGCTTGTCTCGGTGCAGCTGGGAAGATTTGACAGTGTGGGTTGACCCTCTAGATGGCACCAAAGAGTTCGCACGTGGAAAGCTTGAGAGCGTGACTGTACTGATCGGCATCAGTTTCAAGCACGTTCCAGTCGCTGGCGTGATTCACCAACCATTTCGACAGTCCCTCAGTGGCGACATGCAGTCTTGCACAACCTGGGGCATTGTCGGAGCGGGAGTCCGTTCCACTCGACTTGGGGAATTAAAGCCGGCCCAGGCCCATGGCAAGCTCGTGGCAGTGCTGAGTGAGAGCAAGAAGGACAGCGAAGTGGTTTTGCGAACCCTGCAACGGCTCCCGGCAGGCCTTGAAATCCTCAGAGCTGGAGGCTGTGGCAACAAGCTCGTCCAGGTTATCGAGCAAGAAGCAGATTTCATGCTACAGGCACCTGGAAGTCAGCGATGGGATTCGGCAGCAGGAGAAGCAATCCTTCGGGCCTTGGGTGGTGGCCTTTGCAGCCTCAATGGGGAGGTTTACCAGTACGTGCGTGACAGCTCTCACAGGAATGATGGAGGCCTCCTTGCATTCCGGAACTCCTCACTGAAAGGTTACGCGATGCCGAAAGTCTCCACGTGACCTGCGGAACCCGATGGCAGAAGACCATCATTTCTCGCTTGCAGTTCCAAGTGCATGGCTGTGCCAGTGCGTGGTACGCACGGCGAAGCCTTCCCAAGCCGTTCCGTGCAGCTTAAGTTTGCTTCTCTGATGGGAATC